AAATTAATAATAAATTAAAAAATATGTCCTTTATCTTTTTTTTTTTTTAAGCCCAGGAGAAACTGAAAAACTATAAGGTGTACTAGACTGTCCAAAATCTTTCACTGGCTTTCATCACACTTTAAATTCAGACTCATTCCTTTGGCCCAGAGAATCTACAGATTTAGCCCTATGCCTGAGCTCATCTCATGCCATGTTCAGCCTCTCTCATGATACTCTCGTACCTTCTTCTCATTTCCTGAACGAGCCAATTTTTTTTCTTCTCAGCCTCACACTACTACCCATTTTGATTAACATATACTTCCCTCTGATTGGCCTGCACAAATAGATGAACTATTTGTTCTCACTTTGGGTCTCTGCTCAAATGCTACCTCCTCTGAAAAGTCTCCCACAACTCCTTATGAAAAGTTGTACTTCACTCACAATGCACTGTTGTTATGTACCATCAAGTTGGAACCAACTCACAGTTGACCCTCCAGTGGGCTTTTAGAGGCAGTAGACTGCATGGGAGGGATTGCCCATCTTTCTCCTGTGAAACAGCTGATGAAGCCTTTTGGTAGGTAGCACAACTCCTTACCACTAAGCTATGAGAGCTCCCCAATGCATAAGCATCTTTTCTTTTTTGAGTACCATGAAATTACTATGTTAAAAAAGCAATGCATGTATTGCTGTATTGTTTATTTTCTAGCTCCGCTTTGGGCATGATATCAGGAAAGGCCAGTCCCTGAAAAAGTACATCATGCTTAGAAAAGGGGAGAGTCAGTGAAAGAGAAGACCTTCAATATAGTGACACAGTGACTGACAGTGACTGATAGAGTGACACAGTGATTGAAATACTGACTATAACAATGGGCTTAAACACACCAGCGACTATAAGGATAGTGCAAGGTCAAGCAGTTTTGCCCTATTATATCTATGGTTGCTAGGGGTTGGAATCAACTCAGTGGTCACTAACAAGACTGTTTCTGGTTTGTTCCTTGTACCCTCTGCCCAGAATGTTCTCTGACACACTTGTATTTATTTATGAGTGAATAATAATTACCTGATAATGCTAAGCCAATCAAGGTGCAGGTTCTAGTTATGCTAAAGTACTATTAATTATTTTAATTAAAAAAGTACTGTGGTATACATAATTTATGTATACTGCATTGAAACAGATGAGGGAGAGAACAGTTTAAAACAATATATGATTGGGTATTATGGTTATGACAAGAGTCCAGAATGAAGGTTGCATAGTGGAGTATACTGGGGTGGGGGAGGTAATTGTATACCAATGAAGAAATTTTTCTTTTACTTTTCAAAGAGAAGAGCGAACTGAGGGGGAGGGGTGGGCAGGGAGAAAAATGCAACAATGAATGAATGGAAATCCAAAATCTCTGTAAACGTTCATTAAAATTAATAAAATAAAATTTAAAAAAGTATTGCAGACTATTTCAGGTACACCTAAAGGGAGAAAGAATAGCACAATGTACTTTCATTCATGTACAATGGCATCTTTTAAAAGGAATGATTAGCGCTGCAAGTATACTAGTAGAATGCCCAGAAAATTATAAAATCCTATAAAAATCTAAGGACATCATCATTATGATACTGATGCCCCTTTTCCTGAAACTTACAAACACATTCACACAGAAACCCAAGGGAAACTTACCATGACAAGGACATCTTGACTTTGACTCTGGTTCTTGTTCAAGCCATTCATTGTGGCTTCTAAGTTCTGCTGGGATTTCTTCTGCCTCCGTTTCTGGAATGCTTTCCTGGCCTTCTGCAGCTCTCCTGCCGAGTTTGCTTCAAATTTGCTGAGTAGGCTCTTGGTTTTAATACTATCATCAACATCCCAGACATCTTCAAGTGTCAGAGGTTCCTTGTAGCCTTTCAGAACAACTCTAGAACAAGAGTGACCCACAGGCTGGAACCCTACAGCCTGGGTAGAGAGCTGTCTCTTTGCTCTTCTACCCAGCCTGTGTAGGTCCTGATCTGAGATGGAAGAAAAAGAGGATGAGATATCTCCCTTGATCCATGACTCCTATCTCCTGTTCTTTTGAACTTAAGAGAGAAGCAGGGAGAGGAGAAAAGGAATTGAGGAGGGATGACAGAGATGGTAAAAGATAAAGAGAGAAGGGGAAGAGGAGGCCCAAAAGACTGTCACCTCCCTCTCCTCTCCCTGGTCCCTCCTTGTCAAACACCAGCTGCATGATGGCTAGTGGCTACTGAGTGACTGCCTCTACTCTGCTTCTCCAGATAAAGGATTCTTAACCTGAGGCTTAAGACTGCAAGTGAATTATAAATGACATTATTTTTTCACTAATTTCTAACAGAACTGCAGCCTTTCTTTCTAACACGAGTATAGACAACCAACCAAGTTGTAAGGAGTCACCAGGAGAAAGCACAGATGTTTTTAGTGCTCACTTACTCTCATCACACTTTGGAAATAATGGCTGTTAGTGAACTCACCACTGCATATTGTTATTCAGTGCATTACTAAAGAACACATGTACTACTATATCATAGATAAGCTTGTTCATATATTCTTATAGCATGATTTTAATGCTTGCTTTCTTAATATTCTTTCATTATTTTATTTTATGCATTTAAAGCATTACTCTGAGAAGAGATTTGTGGCTTTTAGCAGCCTGCCAAAGGAGTCCAGCAAACCACTGAAGTCAGGAACGCCTCCAGATCTGCTGGAGCCTAGAGCAGCTCCATTATCCTACAAATCTACCTCCAACCTTCCCCTTTCCCAGCCTGTTAACTCTTTTCTATTCTTTCGTGAAACCCCTACCTACCAAGATCAAATCCACTTTCATCCCCTCCTCAGTTCCCAATTTGCCCAATGAAGGAGCTGAACTAAAAAAAACGTCTAAATTTTAATATTCTCGGACTCTGATTAAGTGGAGGAGAAACTGAGGCCATAGAAGACTTTTTTTTTCTTTAAAATATGCTTTTCTTTTCTTTTCTTCACTTTCAGAAGAGTGAAGGAGGAGGGATATAGACAACCCATACTCCAGGCGTTTCCTACCTGTCAAACCAACTAAAGGTAATACTACTCAGAAATGAAGCCGTGGTTGAAGGATTCTGCAAGACACACAAAAAATTAGAAAGTAAATAAATTGGAAATGGAAATGCTATGGGACTCTGAAATCAGAGACTGATTTTGTTAAATTGTCTTGGGATGTGATAGCATTAGATATAACATTGAAGTCAATTGCTCAACATTTGGGAGGCATAAGGTCACTAAATTAAAACAAAATGAAACTCAATTATTGAGTCAATTCTGATTCGGGGACATCCCATGTGTTGTTATGATCACGAGCAGAGTGACAATCAGCGTTGCTGGCATTGCTGTTAGGTTCCATCGAGTTGAGTACAATTCACAGCGACCCTATGAATAACAGATCTGACCCTTACCCTGCACTAAGTCATCCTAATATATGAAACATGTATGAATTAATTGCCTATGTTGAAGATTCAAAAGTCATTATATCCATAATCTAGTTACCTCCTGTTTCCTTATAATAATTTGTATTATAATACAATAATCTTAAGACACTCTGTCCTACTACTCCAGAGTCCATGAGGCCTACATATTTCAGTTAGACACCCATCAAACTACAATAGAGTTAAGTATTATGTTAGGCAAGCATATTTAGGTTCTCACATTTGATGAGGATTTTTCTGAAAATCCTGAGAGGATTATGATCAGGATCTGGAATGCATAGAAGATGAAGAACAGGCACGAGTAGGTCAGGTTAGAATTGTCACCCTATGGAAGTAAAGAAATAATCGAGAAATAAGAATTTTTCCAAATGAAATCTGAAATGACATATCGGTTCTCATAATTAAGGTCCATCATAAAAAAAAAAGTCTATCATGAAATCTCCTAAATAAAAGTACATTTTGAAACCCAATTTACTTTGTGTCCTTCCCTCCAATTCAGTGATTGTCTAGCAGTTCCTCTTTATGTCATTGTCTTCACTCCTTACCTGTAAGAGTGTTCGGATGAGGGTTTGAAGTTGGAAAGTGCCACAGAGGATTGAAAGAATCCAGAAAATGGACAGGAACCAAGCGTTCTTCTGAACACACCATTGCCTGCTGTGTTGGATCAGCAAAACCAGGAGCTAAAGAGAAATTCACATCAAGTTCTGAAGACTGCTGTCACTAACCTCATTACAGAAAGTGACAAAGCTGTCAGGGATCAGCAGCAGGGCTGAAGGAAGAGATTGCTGGGTCTAACCTAGCAGGCCCCAAACCCATGAATGCCTACTGTAGGTTCCCTCCCTGTGCTCTGTCTTTGGATCCCATCACTTTTGCATGCCATCTCTAGTCACCCATCTTTTATCATTATCTCTGTTCACCAAGAAAGCTGAAGACCACTGTCTGCTTTTAATGGAGTTACTTTGGGAGCCATAAAACCTTTTCAAGACCCAAGGAATGAGTGTCAGGCATTAAAAGTAGTTGGGTGGAAGAGGCAGATTCTGATGCATTGGTACAGATCTTTGTACTTTAGTTTTTAAATGTTTTCAGTCTTGTTGTTGTTGCCAGCTGTCAATTCTGGTCTGTGACCCTATGTGTACAGACTAGTACTGTTAATAGTGTTTTCAAAACTGTGACCTTTTGGAATCAGGTCTCTAGGCTTGTCATGAGACACCTCAGGGATTGAATTACACTTTGGTTAGTAGTCTAGCACTTCAGATTAACCTGTTAAGAGAAAAAGGTTGCTTTGAATCATCTCTTTTAGAGATACGTAAATTCTTGAGATGCTGCTCTTCTCAAGACCCCACTCCTCTCGTGAGACACCCACTCTCATGAGACCCCCTTGTCCCTGCTGCGAAGCCCCCTCCTTTCGTGAGACCCCACTCCAACCCCGCTCCCCTCCAGAAACCCTCATTCTTTTGCGAGATCTGCTCCTCTTCCCTATCTTCATTCTGCTGCAAGAAGCTAAGACTTGAGTGGCATGGTCGGCCTGAAGCCTGAAAGCATTTTCTAGCCACCGCTTCCCTTTGCGACTACTAAAGGCTGCAGCGCAGCCCAAGCACACTCACACACTGGGCCCCAACAGAACCACTGCCTGCCAGTTTGAGGGGCTGCAGTTTTAGACTTTGCTCCTGCCCAGAGCACTAGACCCCTGCTGTCTGGAGACCCCGCTGACCCCACGCCTGGAGACAGCCCAGATCCCGCCCCCGCGTCCAGCGCCAGGAGCATCAATATCACAGGTACTTTGGCCTTAAACATTGCTGTTTAGCTACATCACGTGGGATTTCTTAAGCTCAAGCAGAAGAGGCCTGGTGGAGAAACGATTTCAGGAGAGCAACAGTCATTCAGAGTGGACTTTTGGTCCCAAGAGTGGAGCGCCAATATGCAGGTCGTTCACAAAACATTGTCATACTCTGGGATATAGTTACAAATAGTTACAACAACCTAACATCTATTAAGAAAAGACTGACATAATGCCAAGAAAGCAGTCTGCCTCAGTCATCCTGGAAAAAAACCCCAAAATAACCCTGCTCCTCAAAAGGAAGACCCGATCAATACCCCAGATAGAGAGAACGAGAAGAAATATGTTGATGTGGAGTTATTTGAACAGCTACAGAAGAAGGTACAAATGATGGAAGAAACAATTAAGAGCGCAAATACCCCAGAGACAACAATTCAGGAAAAATCTATTAATGAGGAGCAACTTGAACAGCTACAGAAGAAAATGAAAAAAAAAAAGGAAGTATTTCTCGTATAGGTAAAGAGATACAGAAACTTAGATGCAATGAAATAAATGCTAGTTGTTTTCCTGCTCTCCTAAAAAGAAAAAAAATGAATTGCTGTAATGTGTTTATTTCCATGGTGTGCCTACTCCCGCACTGGCTGATTTAAGCTCCAGGTGATGTCATGAGCCCAGGGTGGGGAAGAACGGTGTGAGCCATGACACACTATTCACTCCTTTATTTTATACTTTTTAATTTCATAACAAAGATCTTTTAAAAAGCCAAAACAAAATTCATGAATGTTGGGTCAGAACCAACTCATTGTTGACACTCTAGTGGGTTTTCAGAGGCTGTAAATTGCATAGGAGGAGATTCTGGGTTTTTTTCTTAAGGAGCTGCAAGTGAATTCGAACCGCGGGAAAAGTACCATCTTTGGGTTAGCAATGCAACTCGTGTTGCTGCCAGAGCTCTAGCAAAGAAAAGCGCTTACAGGGCTAGGAGGGTGCTGTCACTAAGGGGTGTGGGGTCCGTGTGGGATATATGCCTCCTCTAAAGGTGTAACAGCTACATGGTCTTGGCTGACTACAGATCCCTGCGGTTGTCAGACATTTTGATTTTTAAAGTACGGTTGGAAGTTGATTTTTATGTGACTTTTCTTCTTTTGAAAAGATAGCAACAAATTAAATTTTTGTTTACATCCTATAGCCGGCCACCTCTACCCCATATTTACTCCCAAACAAGTAAAGATACCAGTTCTGTCCTAGACTCCATGAACCATTAATTAGAGTCATCAGTCAATGTAAACAAATAATACTCAAAGCATTAATACATTATTTTACATCAAGAAACATCTCCTCTATGATCTTTACATGGCATGAGTGTTGTTTTATGTCATCAAGGCACAAAAAAACAAGCTTAGTTTTTAAACTGATATTTGATCCTAGTGAGAAGCTTCTAAGAGATGAAAAACCTATTTGTAGTCTTCAGTTTCACCTCATTATAACTGCTTCATTGAAATGCCCTTGGAAGGAATGATAGGCATAAATGTATAACAATGAACCATGGGTCAAGAATTGCAATACTGTCTTAACTCTGGCATCAATTAATACAAACATAATAGTAAACACTTTTAGAACTTATTTGTCTTTCAGATTCTTTTTTTTTTTTTTTGTCTTTCAGATTCTTAATGTATGATGTGATAAAGTTGTACTGCATGGTGCTTTCTACTTCTTCAATTCTTTAGATGAAATTTCATTTAACTCTAAAAGAGTAAACTTCAGCTAGAATATTGCAAGTAGAAAGAAGATAAGGTGAAAGGAGCAGTGGACCTTATCCATGTGACCAGGTAAAGGCTTGGACTTCTTCAATTCTTTAGATGAAATTTCATTTAACTCTAAAAGAGTAAACTTCAGCTAGAATATTGCAAGTAGAAAGAAGATAAGGTGAAAGGGGCAGTGGACCTTACCCATGTGACCAGGTAAAGGCTTGGATTGGTATATCTAATGGCAGGGATTGTTGCTTGTCCAGTATCTTCTGTGAGTGCAAAGACCAGCTCTATGACAGCTAGAATGAGAAGTAATCCAACAAGCACCTGAGAAAGGAAAAGAAAAAACATGCACTATTAGGGGAATATCATTTTCTACAAGTCTCTTAGAACAGAATAGTGCCCAGTGATGGATGGTAAAAAAACAAACAAACAAACAAAAATATATACAGTGATTTGGATGGCACAGTTAACAAATTTTGTAGAGTAAATTGGTAGTTTATAAAAAATGAAATAAAGTTCAAAATACACTGTTCAAAATACACAAGTGTTTTTGAGACATGATGAACAAATGTGATGGTTTTGAAACCCATCACAAATTCTTTGATACTAATCCCTTCAAAAAGTAGAGCTTAATTCACCTCTCCTTGCATGAAAACTGGACTTTGTGTGTGAGTGACTTGCTTCTAATGAGTATAAAATGGTAAAAGCAATGGTGTGTCGCTGCCAAGGTGATTTCCTCTGGTGAAAGTAGCCAGCCTTGTCCTGAAGAAATTAAGACAGCCCCAAGGACAGGCTTGCTTGGCCTCTTACCAAGAGCCATGTGAGTGAGTCATTTCAGAAGCTAATATCCCAAGTCCAAAATCAAGCTTTCAGATGATGGTAGTCCCACCCGATACTAAACTGTAACCTCAGGAAAGACCATGAAGTAGAAATCAGATAAGCTGGTCCCAAATTCCAGGACCAAGACACTTCAGTATTGAGGGGTGGCGGTCAGGAAAGCTTGGGTTTTCCCCCCAAACTGCTAAATTTTAGGATAATCTGCCATACAATAACAGAAAACTAATACACCACGTTTAAAAGGAGAATTGTCTCTCCTCCCACTGCTGTTGTTACTGTGTGCCATCTAAGTAGAATTTGACTGATAGTGGGCATGTAGACATGTTGGAGCTACCCCCGAGTGTCCAATGTTATCATCTTTGTGGAATAAGATTTTTTCATCTTCCTTCTGCAGAGCAGTTGGTGGGCTCAGAGTGTCAACATACAGGTTAGCATCCGAGTGCTTAGTCTCTGTGTCACCAGCACTCCCTGCCTTTTCTCCATTAAACTCATCCCTTGCTGCCCAGTCTGTTCCAACTCACAGTGAGCCTCCATCTGACTTCAGAGGCTGTGAGGCAGAGACTGCCCGTATTTCTCCAACAGAACGTCTCATGAATCTGAGCCACTGGAGACGCGCAGATTTTGGGTTGGTGCAACTTGCTACAGGCTCTGCCACCAGAGCTCCCTCTCCAAATCAGTGGCCTTGGAAACCCTACAGGGCAGTTCTGCTCTACTCTGTGAGTAGAGCGATGAGTCACTTGATGGCATTAGTACCTTGATCACTGGTCCCAACTTTGCCCTCGTATAACCTTTGCAGTTAATGTACTAGCACATGCATGATAATTCCAAGCCAATCAATAATATTTTGTTCTGTAACCTCATGAATTATGATTCATTCACATTGTACTTTCTAAAGGATCACACACGTCTAATCAGAAGGGAAAATAACTATCTCCACAGCACCTTTGTCCCTCAAATTAAGATTTCTATCCTCAATTAACTCCCTTATTAACCCCCTATTCCCCTGCCCTTGCTCATTCTCATATGACTCAATCATCCAGAATGACCTGGGCAGAGAATTAGGGCTCTTTGCCATGAAAACCAAGGAGGGATATTTATGTGTCTTTAACAAATGAGAGCAGCACCATTATTTAGCAAGTTGTTGTCGTGCACCATCAAGTCAGAACCAACTCAGAGCTGACCCTCCAGCAAGTTTTCAGAGGCAGTAAACTGCACAGGAGGGAACAGCTCTTTCTCCAGCAAAGCTGTGTATGGGCACTATCTTTGGGTTGGCAGTGCAACTGCTTACCACTAAGACACCAGAGCTAGGAGTTTTCTCAAGTTCAGGTGGAACATATTATCACATTCTGGGCCATGAAACATACCTAATATAAAAAAAGAAATTAAGACATATAGTGGCATAGGGACCTACTTGAGCCAATTATGTTCAATAACTTAATTTTTTATTTGTAAATGTAAATAGTACAAATAATTGGCAGAATGTTGAGAAAAACAACAGGGTCATACTTGTGAATGCCAGAAATTGTAAGAGAAGGAAAATTCAAATAAGAAGAGATGAAACGGAAAGGAAAGCTAAAATGAGTAACAGCAAAATGGTAAGACTGAGACCCAGGAACACAAGGCACTCCCTTCAAATTCTGACTTTCATGGGCTTCAGACAACTAGCATAATAAAACAGTGCAACAAATAATGAGCTGAAACAAATAGAAAGTATTAAGTGATCAGAAAAGAATCTTCTTTATAAAAGTATTTAAAAATGAATGTCCTAGGGGAGACTTGAGAAGATACAATATCCACTAACATTGCAATTAAGAAAAGGTATGTTGTTTGGTTGTTTTGTTTTTGAAAAGGTATATTGTTAAGTTGTTGTTGTTAAGTGCCGTGGAGTCGCAGGCGACTCATAGCGACCCTATGAACGAAGTCCTGGACACTTCCTGTATAACTTTCATCCTTTCTCCAGGTTCATAGGGTTTCCAGAGGCAAGCTATTGTGGAAGTCAATGTTACTCCTGCTTCTGAACTTGTTTTAATGAGGGAGTTTCACCAAACACAGCCCACCATAAAAAGTATAGTCAGAAATAAAGAGGAATCCCTTAGGACAAGTGAACAAAAAATTTGGAGAAAATTTCTTGGGAAACGTCACAGAAAGTGAAATAAAAAAGAGAGAAGGAAGATTAATTCAGAGTCCAAGCTATTTGAAAGAAGTGAAAGAGTAGTAGAAAATGAATAAACAGTGAATAAACACCCAACATTTTGGGCATTGTAATTAATGATCTGGAGCAAAGTGTGCATGAATGATAGAGAAAACAGTATGCTCTGCAAACTTTCACTCAGAACACAATAAAATGATTCTCTGGAGAGGTAGAATTTTAAACAGGAAAGGAGTCATTTATACAATTTCTCAGTTATAAGAAAACATAGGTATTTAGGTGGAGACTGGAGAGTCCACTGAATTTAAAAGAAAAAGACAATTATGGAGTTTAAAAATATAGAAAATGATAATAAAATATGATTTAAAAAGAAAAAAGTAAAGAGGATCAACACTTCTAGAGGCTAACTAGGAATGAAAAGAATTCTAATTAGCACAGGATGCTGAGGAAAAAGAAACACCTTCCGGTTTTTGAAAGAAAAGCATATATTTTAAAACCAGAATTCCATATTCAAATAAACATTTTCTGAAGCAAGGACTTTTTATCCACTATTATGCTTTCTGAAAATTTTATTTGGGAATTGTCTCCTGAAGAAAGGACCGAAGACACTTTGGAGCACTAATTCTACCATCTTATACAAAGGGGCATCAAGATACAGAACCTAAAATTGGGGGTGGATTCTTTTCCAAAGTAACATCTGAAAAATAATAATATAAGACAAAGCAAAAAAAAAAACAACTGAGAATAAAGGGAAAAGAGGGGGGAAAAGTTATGATGAAGGGTTAATGAGCTAAATTTCTTCTTGAGAGGGCAGGAAAAGGTTTTTTTTTTAAGCTGATTGATCAAGAAATATATACATATGCTTTACAGCTATGAAGGGAACCATCAATACAAGTTCAGATGGAACTCTAGAGAATGAGGCTGGGAGAGTGTGAGAAGGAGGCTTTTGCTTTTAATTTTGTGCATTTGATTGCTTTTTCAGAGAAGGCGTGAAAGAAAATATTTTGTAATGTTACAGAATGGTAACATTATTAATATATTTAATGATCTTATTTCATCTTGCTTTGATCCACAATTTTAGTATATGTACTGCCGAAGCGAGCACTTTGATCCACAATTAACACCCTTGGTATGAGCAGTCAGGAAATAAGGAGACATATTGCACTGGGAATATCTGGAGTTAGGGACTTTTCCAAATTATTGAGGAGTAGTGATGTCAGAGGACTAAAGTGCATCTGATTCAGGCCATAGTTTTTGCAATTACTAGCTATGCATCTGAGACCTGGACAATGAATAAGGATGACTGAAAAATAATTGATGCCTCTGAGCTGTGGTGTTGGAGAAGAGCACTGAACATCCCATGGACATACAAGAAAATGAACAGGATGTCTTGGAGATGGAGCAGCCGGAGTGCTCTTTGGATGCACGAATGATGAGGCTTTGCCTCACATACTTTGGACATGCTGCTAGGAGGTGCTATTCCTTGGAGAAGGACACGATGTTAGAAAGGGTGGAGGGTGGGGGAAGGAGAGGAAGTTCCTCAACTAAGTGGATTGACACAGTGACTGCTGCAATGGGCTCAGGAAGTGTGAGGATGGTGCAGGACAGGACTGAGTTCAGATCTTTTGTTCAAAGGGTCGCTATGAGTCGTACTTGAAGGCACCTAACAACAACAGTTCCCTAAAGTCTCCAAATTTTCTACAATAAGCATTCATTCGTTTTACCGTTAGAAATAAACACTTATTTTTATCAATTATGATGAAGGGAATATTGTGGATGTTTGAGGATTACCAACTTCTTAATATTCTTTGCTCTAAATCTCTGATTTCTTGAGAGAACTTCAAACAGACAATGAAGAGCTCTGGTGGCATAGTCCATAGGGAGTTATGCTGCTAATCCAAAGATCTACCTCTTTGGTGTTAAATCCAGTAACACACGTGGGAAGAAGGATGGGCAATCTCATCCTGTGTGCTGTTCACAGCCTTGGAATTTCACTGGAGGTTCGACTCGACACTACATAACAAAATTAACAACAAATATTCTAATCTACCAGCTGCTCTGCAGGAGGATAGGCAACTCCTCCCGTGGGATTTACTGCCTCCTAAGTTTCGCTGGAGGGTTAGCTATGATTCAGTTCCAACTCAACAATACATAACAACAACTACATATACATACATACACAAACGTGTTGTTGAGACAAGTATGACTCATAGTGACCCTGTGACTAACAGATCTGAACCCTGTCCTATCCTGTGCCATCCTCATCATTTCTAACACGTTAGCCCAATTAATGCAATATCTGTATCAATCCTTCTTATCGAGGGTCTTTCACTCTATTGTTGACTCTCCACCTTGGATATCCTATCCAAGAAATAGCCTCTCCTAGGAATATGCCCAAAATATGTGAGATGAAGCTTTGATAGTCTTTGCCTCTGAGGAACATTCTGGCTACATTTTTTCAAAGATATAGCTGTTCAATCTTTGGGCAGTCTTATCAATGCTCTTTTTGAACATTGTAACTCAAAGGCCTCAGTTCTTCTTCTGTCATCCTTATTGACTGTACAGCTCTCAGAGGCATAACAAGTGAATGAAAAGACCATGACCTGAATCAGGTACACCTTAGTCTTAAAACTAACATCATTGCTCCTCTGTAATTTGGAGAAGTCCCTGACAGCAGATTTTGCCAATGCAATGTAATTCCTGATCAACTGACTCTTGGAACTAAGGGTGTTTATCGTGTATCCAACTAAGATAAAGTCACTGATGATTTCAATCCTTTCTCCATTTATCATGATGTTACTTATTGGTCTAGTGGTGAGGATTTTTGCTTCTTGAAGTTGAACTGCAATCCCTATTGAAGGTTTTGATCTTCGGTAGCAAGCATTTCACGTACTCACTTTCAGCAATTGTGCCATGTGCATATGCAAGACGGCATCTAAGTAAAGTGAAATCATTGATGACTTCAATCTTATCTCCATATATCACAATGTTGTCTATTGGTCCAGTGGTGAGGATTTTTATTTTCTCGGTGTTGCTGTGCAATCCGTATTACAGGTTGTAATCGCTGGTCTTCTGCAGCAAGTGTTTTAAATTCTCTTCAGCAAGTAGAGTTGTGTCATCTGCATAATGCAGGTTGTTGAATGAGTCTTTTTCCAATTCTGATGTCACTTTTTTTTCACCAAGTCCAGCTTCTCAAATGATTTAACAGGTGTTCAGAATAGGCATACAGATTGAGTAGGTATGAAAAAAGGATAGTACCCCGATACACATCATTCCTGATTTTAACCATTCTATTATTAGACAAGGGAGCTCTGGTGGTTTAGTGGTAAAAATTGCACTGCCAATCCAAAGGTAAATGGTTCAAATCCACCAGATGCTCCATGGGAGACAGTTGGGCAATCTCTTCTTAAGAGATTTACTGTCTCTGAAAACTTTCTGGATGGTCAGCTATGGTTATTTCTGAAAATAACAATTATTAGACAAGTATTCATTTTAGAAAGTACTAATATACTAGTCAAACTATGCCTCCATGGAATAACTTCTCCTCATTTTTCTTTGTCCTTCTCTCTGAAATGTGTTATAATAAGTTGAGGCAGTCTTCATATTCTTTTACAAATACTTAAAGATGATTCCCATTTTCCACAGGCTTAATAGAAAGTCTAGTTATGCTACATATCTTACTCTGACCTCAGCAATTTCCCAGCTTTCAAACTAAATTCATTGAGCTCATTTAGTCATTTGCTTTTTAAAAGAATTCAATTAATTGTATCACCTGTTATATACTGGGCCCTGAAATAAGGATTTCTCTTTTCTCTTGAAACCAAGCAAACGTGTAGTCACCAATAAGCTTGGTCAAGCAATTTGACTAAATTCAGAGGAGCAGCACTAATAACAGTCAAAGAGAGTTGAAAAGGGGGGATGGAGAAACTTAAAAACCCAAAACCTGGGATTGCACAATTTGATGGCAGGGGGTTGGGTATGTTTAGAGAAAGGGGAAGGAACTTGTGCAAAAAATAATGTATTCAAATTTTATAAATAAATGAGTATAACAAACAAAAAAAATAAACAATAAAAACAACCCACACCATCAAAATCAGTGAAATAGTTCAAAGGCTCTATATGATTCTTGGCAGGTAGAAGAGGAAGTTGAGAAATAAAATCAAGATAAGGTATAATAAATTCAACATAAGAGAGAAAATTCTTATAGAAATACAGTTTTGTTTGTTTTGGGGTTTTGGGTAAGAAATTATACCTTCCAGTTACTTTAGAGAATTAAACTAACTGCCTGAATATTTTAAGGAACAGCTAATCAGTACTAGTTAATCCAGAGGACGAAATGAAATCGTAAAAGCTATGTGGGTTTGGGGCTGTAGAGTCTGATCTCCACTAAGTTTGTAAACGTAGAAGAACTCAAATATGTACACATAATCAGCATACAGACTGAATAGGCCAAACTGACCAATGCTCACATTAGCATTCTATATGTATCGCTTAATAACCAACACATAGACAGTTCCAGTGCGGTCAAACCTGCCCGTACGTTCCAAACCTTTTGCTGACACCAGCCATTCCGGCCACAGTTGCCTTTTCTATTATGTGCTCACAGTAAGCCCACATGAGAAGACATCCTGACTAAAAGTCTCTGGCCATTGGCCTTTTGTCCCAGTCGCTGCCCTGTTCGGCATTGCAGTGTTTACAAAGTTCTTTTAGCTTTGTCAGTAAGCCCAGGTCCAAAGGCATTTAACTCTTCCTCCAGGGGACTGCAAACCCAGCTCCCCCAGCACTCACTCCATGGCAAGCACTCAGCTTGCATCCTCTGTGGGCCAGAAACCCACAGCTCTGCCTCACACTGGTTTCTGGTTCTCTGCCACTACTACCACCACTGTTACTGTCTCACCTCATGCTGTCTTACCTCATTTTGACAGTGTTACAACTCTCCATCTCTAGTTCATGCAGAGATCTCAGGTTCATAAGATGTGCTGCCTTCTTTGATGATGGCGAGTCTCCCATTTTTTGACTCTGGGCCAGCTCACTTTAAGTCAGGCTGGCAAGGCTCACATTAGCATTCTAAATATAGGATTTGCATGGACTCATCTGAAAGGTGTCAGTTGCCTTATTTACAATATTAGTAAGCTGTTAGTCCCTTAGTAGGCCACAAACACTTCACATTTCTATAGTCCTAAGCAACAAGCTGCTCCTTGGGGGGCAAGGATTTTGAGATTCCATTTCACATGCTTTGGGCTTGTTGCCAGGAGGGACCAGTTTTCCTAGGAGGATATCGGAGGGACCAGTTTTCGGAGGAGGATATCATGCTTGGAAGGATGGAGGGACAGTGCAGAAGAGGAAGACTCCGGATGAGATGTACTGACACAATAACTGGGGTAATGAGGGTTGGTGTGTCAGAGACAGTGAGATGGGCTCAGGATAGAGGAAGATTCAGAACTATAATGTATAGGGTTGCTCTGAGTTGTAGTTGACTCGACGGTACATAACAACAAAAACCATTGTGCAAGACAATGTCTTAGAGGAACCACACTGAGTAAGTCACTGTGGCCCAATTATGAACAGAATTCTTCAGGTTCTGTATGAGTAAGGTTAATTTTCTTTTTCTTTTCTTTTTTTTTTTTCTGAGTAAGGTTAATTTTCAAACCAAACCGAACCCATCAAGTTGCTTCCAACTCATAGTAGAACGGCCCTAGAGTGTGGCCAGAGCCGTAAATCTTTAAAGAAGACTTTCTCCTCTTCCTCCTACAGAGCACCTGGTGTTTTGAACCATTAACCTTTGGTTAGCAATCAAGTGCTTTTGTACCTACAGGACTCCTTGGTGGAACTTTATTCACCCACAAAAAGCAATCTTCATACTAATACATCTATAATACAGATGGCTTTCTAAAATACACCAAGTTAAAGAAACAAGTTTTTATTTTAAAAAAAGGTCATAAATTGTACAATCCAATTCATATCAAATGTTCAGAATAAGGAAGTCTTTAGTGTCTACCAGGTTTAAGTAAGGTTTTGGCTTGGATTTTATGTCTGAATAGATTAGTGTTTGCTTAGGGTTGGGGGAGGGTATGAGGGTAATAGCTAAACATACAGGATTTCTTTTTCGGGGGATTAAAATTCCTCTAAAATTGACTGTGGCGATGATTACGTCTGTTAATAAACATACTTTTAAAAATCACTGAATAAAACACAAAGTATGAGAATGATTGTAAAAAGACACAATATGAGTGAAGGAAAGTGAAATACAATGTATACAAATTTTGTATGCAAACCAATACAAAATAGAAATTAAAAAAAAATTACTGAATCACACATCTTAAAAGGGCAAGTTGTTCACTGCAATCTTAAAGGTGAGCAGTTCAAATCCACCAGATGCTCTGCTGGAGAAGGAGGGGCACACTCCTCCTGTGCCAGGTGGATCCAATTCAATGGTACACCAAAAGAAATTAATTTTTAAAAAGGACAAGTTGTATAATTTGTGAATTATATCTCAATAACAAGAACTTTTTACTAAAACATAGAAGGAGCATTCCCCAGACTCTTCTTGGAAGTTCCAAAAAAAAAAAAAAAATGTCAACGTGACCAACTTGAACTTCAAACTTTGGCTCATCTTTAAGAAGAGTGATGCATCAGAAAAAGTCTAAAGCACTTTTAATACAGAGTGTGCTCCCAGGGTGCAGTTGGCATCAACATTTGTAAATACTTACCAAAGGTCTGATGTGTACCAGGCACATGCTGGGCACTTGGTAAATAAAACAAACAGAAATCTTGCTCCTGAACTCTTTTCATACAGAGTCCAATAAATCACTACCAGCTCTACACCCAAGTGTTGCCACAGATTTTATTCCAAGGTCTTTCCTGTCTTTTATGTTGCAGGTAACTTGAGGTTATTGATAGTTACTACTCAGAAAATACAAGAATCCAATTTGCCTGTCTAAAACCTGCCCCAAGATCAGAACAGACAGAAAATAAAAAAAAAAATAGAATGGAAGGCAGTAGATCGTGGACTTATGGGATGCCTCTATTGAAGAATGAGAGTTAGGAAATGGTTAGGCTACCATACCTGCTTGGCCACGTAGAGTTTGGTTATAGAAGCCTTGCTGACTCTGGATTTATATGCATGAATAAGCTGCCACGGTGCCAGTAGCCAAAGGAATATCAAGGGAATCCACACCAGAACAGTTTGTTCAAAACAGAGCGGCAGGTCAGGCTCAGGACTATCCAGGAATGAAGAATTCTGGGAGATAAAAATAATAATAAATATTAGATGCATGCATCCTTAAAGACATAGGACCACGTCCCAGCACACAGACAGTATTAATTCAAATCCATATCTGGATCTATTGCTGCCTTATACTATCTATAGGGATTATGAATCCATAGTCTCCTATTCACCGTCTTGTGATATTGAGTGACTTTTCTGGTCTCTTAAAATCTATATTTTTGTGATCCCCAAATGGCCTTGGAATTATTCCATTAGCTGTTCTTAGTAAAACTCACCACTGCAATTGCCAAACTGCAGAGAGGTGGATCAAAGGGGAGCTCGCCCAAAGAGCAGAACTCATTCCATGGGCCAGAACAGTTCTCTAACACTGGTTGAACTCACACATAGAGTCAAGCGTGCAGGCTCTGGAGAAGTTTGTCTGTGACATTCAGTCTTCTTTAGCCAAGGCTGAATACTCAGGGAATACAGTAAGCGCGGGCTTACTTGTGTTTACCTACTAATCTGTAGTGACCAGTTTCACCTGTTTTCACCAAAACCTGCGAACAATTCACTACAGTTTAGTAAGTAAGCACAAGTGAATCCATCTTATTAGTTTATTAGGCAGTTGGTCACTGCCTACAGTCCGAGGGTGGCAACATGGGAAGCCCAGGAGGACTGGTCAGTTTCGGCACAGGAGCAACCATGGCGCAGCTGGACAGGAGATGGATTCGCAGTACGTTTTGTACCATTCGTCTCTTCTATAATAAATAGACTGGGGGGAGGAAGCAGGCATATGACGAAGATTTTTCTCTTCCTATAAATACTTTATGAAGGGTTCTATTTGATTTTTTTTTTACTTTTTATTTTTTTTTGTGTGTACCGTCAAATCAGATGTGACTGGTACAGGAGGAGATTGTTCCTCCTTCTCCAGCAGAGCGTCTGGTGTATTCAAACCGTGCACCTCTTGGATTGTAGTGCAGCTTCTTGCCACTAGGCTGATTTTTTTTTTTTACTTTTAAAAATATTAATTTTGGGGGGTAGAAGCTTAAACAGGGAATTCCGTTAACTTTTAACAATTTTTCTACAAATCGCTCTGTGACACTAGTTAAAATTTTCACCATGTGTCAACATTTTCATTATTCCCATTGATTATTTTCCATTGATCTAACATTCCTCACCCATCTCTGACTTCTTATCTGTGCTTTTGGGTAAATGTCAACCATTTGGTATGTTATTGATTATTTAAGGGAGCAAATTAATACTAGGTGATACTGTTTCTTTTATAAGTTTATCAACTAGTTGATGAACTCTAGGAGTGGCTTCAGTTCCAAGTACAAAGGATATCTTATGCTTTCTTTTCAGGTCTGGGACAGTTCCTACTGGATACCTAGCAACAATGACTTGCTGTTCTTGTTATATGCAAGCACAACCAACTCATAGCTGACCCTCCAATGAATTTTGAAAGATACAAAATCACACGGGGAGAACTGTCCATCTTCCTCCCTCTGAGCAGTGAGTGGTTTTGAACCACATGCCTTTGGGTTGCATTGCAGCTCCTTTCCACTCACCCACCAGAGTTCTCTATCTTCTCAGTAAGTCTGAGTTTACCTAGGAATTTGAACTTTATTCTACCTTTTCCTTCTTTTCTATTTGGAACGTTCTGTTGTATCCCTCCCTGGTCAGAATGGTCAGCAGAGGTAGCTGAGGTAGAAGAGATTGTGGTTCACCTGGGCTACTAATGCTATTTTATGATCCTTTGGTTTATTCCTTTTCTTTTGCTCTAGATGAGTAGAGATTAATAGTTGTACTGCAATTTCAGAAGAAACCAAATTTTAGAAAAGGTTGGAGGTATTCTGCCCAAGATGTTATCAGAGAACTCTCAGATTTCTCAATGACTAGGTCAGTTAGGCCCTTCCTTCCTGGGGTAGCCAAGTCCTACCTGTCAGGTCTTGGGGTTCAGGTCTTTTCTAAGATCGAAAGTACTGCATAGACATTTTGCTATCTCATTTCTGGTACTCTCATCACTCTTCTCAGAAAATAGGAATAATTTTGAGACAACTTTTTGGATTTCCTTTTCACCACAGAAATGACTCTAGTCTTCTAAAAAAAAAAAATGGAACCAAACATTTTTTAAAAAGAAATCCTCTAATCTTTACTGCAGCTAGTCTGAAACTTATAAAGCCATTGTAATCCGCTCTGCTAGGGTCATCCACAGAGAGCTGCACTGCTGGCCAAAAGGCCAAGCCTTTCTGGTTCAAATCCACCTACCACTGCTTAGGAGAAAGCTGGGCTCCTCCCAGGATTCAAAGACCTGAGAGGGGAGGGGTGGTCAGTGATGAGCTGGTTCTGCCTCAGCCGCAGTGACTCAATGATCTGCCTCCGTTGTGATTAACTATCCAAAGGTCCTCTACTCTCTGAATCATAACAACCACAGCAACAAGAACAGAGTCATTTTCTGAGTACTTATCTTGTACTATCATACTATTCTAAGCACCTTACATGTATTAACTAATTCAATTCTCACAACAACCCAAAGAGAAAATATTTTATTATCTTAATTTTATAGATCAGGAAATTGATGTGCAGAGCAGTTAAAATATGCTGGTTAAAATCACACAACTGGAATTTTTTTTTTCTCTCCCTAAGTGCTCCCATACTATAACAATAACATTTCTGAGAGATTGTGTAAGGTCTTTGCATGTATTTTCTCACTAAAGACAATTCTTTAAAACCTTCTCAGAAAGATCCCATACTCTACCACATTTCAGGCATATAAATATACTCAGAAGGATACAGGTATCTTAAACATATGGTAGAAGTTCACTGTTTTGCCCACAAAAGTGCCTTAGGTAAAAAACAAAAGAAACAAAATCAGCCATCTTTGGGAGGACACATTCTGAAGTTCCAGAATCATCTTCATGCGCTGCCACTGAGTTGACTGACACATAACTGTCACATAAGACAGGTTTCCAATACAAACTGCCACATCATTCTCCCTCCAAGCAACTGGGGGTTTGAACATCCACCCTTTCACTTAGTATTCAAGTGCTTACCCATCTCACTACCAGGACTTTTCAGGTCTACATGGTGGTTGTTATCTATCATTGAGTTGGAACCAACTCATAGCTGACCCTCCAGCGGGATTTCAAAGGTTGTAAATTATACAGGGGGAGATTGCCCTTCTCTCTCCTTCTGAACAGCTGGTGAATTTGAATTGTGTACCTTTGGATTGGCAGTGCCAATCCTATTTACCCACTTCGCCAGTTCACATTAGGTAGGTTTATAGAGAGACGAGATGAGTGAACTGTTTGACAAATCTCTCTCAAATGTCTTATTGCCTTGTTTCCCTTAAAGCAAAATATAGAATGATCTTCAATAAGATTGATTGACACAGTGGCTGGAATAACGGGTTTGTGCATAGCAGAGACTGTAAGGATACCACAAAATTGGGGTGTGGTGGGATGGTGGTGTTTGTTCTTTCCCTGTGAATTGGAGCTGACCCAATAGCATCGAACATCAATGGTTCAAAAATTATCTCCGAGGCCATGATGTCCAAATTTTCATCCTTGGTCTTAATTTTTATTCTACATCATGAACTGTCAGCTAAATAATTTCTGTCATTTTTGCAACATCATACCCTGGCCCACCTTGGATTTTTCTCCTATACACAAACAATATAATAATTTCCCCTCCTAACACTGATGATTTGGAAAGTCATTTCCCTGTTTCACTTTAGAGAAAGGAATTCTGCATCTAATTAGTCCTAGAAAATAATCATCTGTTTAGTCCTAGAAAATAATCTGGGATAAAAGAAATATTTGGTAAAGAAAAATTCAACTACCTCTTTCAGATAGTGTATTCCCTAGACATACTACGACTTCTCTTTGTCAAAAAGTTTGAGCTTTACAGTAACATCTCATTTTTCTGGTTCTTGTTGGTGCCCTCTCTGGGTTAATCTACGATTTGTTCTGAGTCCGAGAAGAGTCAATAGTGAGAATACATGTTAATTTCTTACCCAAAAAGTTGAATTGCAGAACTCGTCCAGCATGATTCAGGAAGTGCTTCTTCTAGAATCAAGACTCTTCTGCTATTGCACTGTCCCTTGTCCTCGCTTGCCTCAGAGAAGGTGGGACATGAGCAGCAAATGTGCTGGTAAATGTTGTGATGTTAAAGCCAGAAGCCGGTCTTCGACCTTTCATCCCCACAATTTAATCGTTAACTGTTAACCTTGCCTGAAGCCTATTTACATTATCTCAGCATAGACATGTGACTGAGGAGTCCCAGAGATAGGCAGACTAATTCCTAAAGCGGACCACAGAAAGATGCGAGCTGTGCTGGGGGACAAATCAGGAGTGAAGGTGTCTTTCATAACTAAAATGACATCAAAGGAAGTGTACCTGGGGAGGGGCACAAACCCCCATAAAGTGCTGACTCACTTCTTCCCTAAGGTTTTAGTGTTTAGTTGCTATTTGTGTTATGAGCTGTTGAGTTGGAGATGACTCATAGCTGACCCTCCTGTGGGTTTTCAGAGGCTGTAAATCTCATGGGAAGAGACTGCCCATCTTTCTCCCATGGGGCCAACTGCCAGTGGACTCAAACAGTTGGCATCTGGGTTGGTAGCACAAATACCACTAGGCTACCAGAATGCTTTTGAAGAGTGTATAGAAATGTAAAATACCCTACTCTTTCGGACTTTATTAAATAAAGAACAGAACCCAAAACAGAGTCTAAAATAGTATGTTGTTGTTGTTGTTGTTGTTTGATGCTGTTGAGTCGTAGACGACTCATAGCGACCCTATGAATGAACGGCCTAAGCACTGAGTACATAGAGTTTCTGGAGGCAAGTCATTTCGGAAGCGGATGCCGCTCCCACTAAAATAGTATAGACTTTAAAAAAATTCAGGTTGTACTATGCTGCATTAAAAAACAAGGAACTCATGCAATATTATTCAAAATGGTTGACTCTGGAGAACATTATGCTGAGTGAAATATCCCAGTCACAAAAG